AATTATCGGTAAACAGAAACACTGTAAAGTACATTCAGTAACAAATCACTTAGCAACAGAAACAAATATCCAGTTTATTGTTGCGTCTGGTATACCACTTAATTTGTCTTGGCATCCAAAAAAACAACTCTTGAGACATATCAGAGGACACTGCTGGTACAAGCACATTCATCGGGGATGTTCACATGCATTGCATGACTAGGCATGCTCATAAGCTTAGGGCTAAATTTTTAATTAATTTGCAAGAAGAATAGACGAAAAATATATTTCAACATTGAATTGTTGGAATCCACGTAGCAGATAAACATTCATGGCATCCAGCGTGGCATCCAGCGTGGCATCCAGCGTACTGCATAACAGGGATCGGCATCCAGCGTACTGCACTGCATCATCCAGAATACTGCTGGATCGGCATCTAGCGTACTGCATCATCCAGAATACTGCATAACAGGGATCGGCATCCAGTGTACTGCACTGCATCATCCAGAATACTGCTGGATCGGCATCTAGCGTACTGCATCATCCAGAATACTGCATAACAGGGATCGGCATCTAGCGTACTGCATCATCCAGAATACTGCATAACAGGGATCGGCATCTAGCGTACTGCATCATCCAGAATACTGCATAACAGGGATCGGCATCCAGCGTACTGCACTGCATCATCCAGAATACTGCTGGATCGGCATCTAGCGTACTGCATCATCCAGAATACTGCATAACAGGGATCGGCATCCAGCGTACTGCACTGCATCATCCAGAATACTGCATAACAGGGATCGGCATCCAGCGTACTGCACTGCATCATCCAGAATACTGCATAACAGGGATCGGCATCCAGCGTACTGCACTGCATCATCCAGAATACTGCTGGATCGGCATCTAGCGTACTGCATCATCCAGAATACTGCATAACAGGGATCGGCATCCAGCGTACTGCACTGCATCATCCAGAATACTGCATAACAGGGATCGGCATCCAGCGTACTGCACTGCATCATCCAGAATACTGCTGGATCGGCATCTAGCGTACTGCATCATCCAGAATACTGCATAACAGGAATCGGCATCTAAATCATCATCCAGAATACCGCTGGATCGGAATCCAGCGTACTATAAGGGGGTTGGCACCCTGTATTTTTAAACTTGTATCTTAATTATGGCACCAGTGGAAAACATTAATATGAAAATAACATTGTGTTAACATGTTCACATAAATGTCATAACATACGGATTACCAACGGACTACTACCTGATTAATCACTCAATATCTCATTGTGCACACAGCTGGTAACAAATAGATTGCAACTCGGACATCATCAAGCGTCGATAAGAAATGTGCTCATGCGTAACCAAACAGATTCCACACTGACCGGCACAATATGAGGCTTATAGCACAGGAGACGCATTCCCGTCGGTCGATACATGGTATTAACGCCCTCTGCTTCGATATTTGTCATATCTCACCTTCCACATCTTCTGGGGGGTCGACTGTCGAACTGGCAGCTCTATCCTCCATGTGTTTTTTTGGGATATAGTTGCAATTGTATTACAACTCTGTTTAATGACAGGCAACTAAGGAAGTAGTCGTCTGCTATTTTCGCCGAGGATGATGGGTGTCATAATATACAGCTTACGTAACGACTTCTTACAGGTCAACAAGCGTGTGTGTTTTTGTTGTTGTTTTTTGAGTAGTCGTTTAGCATTAGTGAATTCGGTTATTTTTTAAATATTTCTTTCGATAACTTTTAGAAATCTCACATAGCTATGAGACAGGAGAAACTTACAATGTAAAGTTACTAAAGCTAAAATAAATATAAAGTATTATATACTTATAAGGAAAATACTATAAATTTCATTAATGAGATATTGTCTGTGATGTACCGCAATATTTGAAATATGTCCTCATTGTGTACATTCAGCCTTGTTGTGTGACAGCCTGCACTGGGTCAGCGGCTTATGGAGGCGACCACACCATGTCCGTGTCGGAGCGTACTTGTTGTTACCCTGCCTGGCGCTCGGCATTGCGAGGCTAAAACAAGGACTGGTCGGCTCGGAGGCAGTATACTGTGTCTTAGTGGGGTATTCATGTTAAACTGCGGCATGGTATCTGAGTGGGCTCTCACTATATTTCGGCATCAGTCCGGACTAGTACAAGCACACACGCACACACATGCACACGCATGCACACACAGACACACACACACACGAACGAATAACGAACCCACTGGAAATACGGTATCTTATTTTTGTTACACCAAGTCTGAATAACGAAACCGGTGCTGGTTTGTTTTTCGTTATTCAAAAGTACTGAATAACTAAACAGCTTTTGGATGATGATGTAAGACGAACCTGCTGTCATATATTAAAGGAGTTTCAATGTATTTGATCACATTACTGCAGTTGTTTAATATACAGCCTTTGAATAACGAACCCGGTGCTGGCTTGTTTTTCGTTATTCGAAAAACGAATAACGAACCGGCTGCTAATTTCAGGCCCCTCAGCTTTGGCCCCTCAGCTTTCAACGAGTTTTGTTTGCTGTATAAGTATCAGTCAGGCAGATCACTCCGTTCTACAATGTCAATTATCCATTGTGGGTAATACAAGTATATATACATATATGAAATGTAAAGTATGTACAACATGTTGTAACTTAGTGTTGTGACACAAAGGCATTAAGTGGTGTAGGTGCACATACGCATCGCCCGTGAAGATCCGGTGTTATCGGCTTTTTGGTTAGAGCTTGAAGAAGAAGGTGATGACACAATCAATCTCATTAAAATCAGACCTTAGTTCTCGCTACCGCTAAACAAAGCTTTGCTTAGCGGTAGCGAGAACTAAGGTCTGATTTTAATGAGATTGTGACACAATGTGTGTGACTTGTACTCAAAGCGAAGGCACCAGTGAAGATCCGGGGCAGAACAGGTCTGCGGCAACCCATGCTTCCTATAAAAGGCGACAGTGCTTGTGAGAGGCGACTAACGGGATCGGGTGGTCAGACACGCTGACTTGGTTAATGCATGTCATCGTATCCAAATTACGAAGTTCGATGCCTATGATGTCAATACCTGAATTGTCTGGTCTAGACTCGATTATTTACAGACCGCAGTCATATAGCTGGAATAGTGTTAAATGCGGCGTTAAACAACAAACAACATGGGCATCTGCATGGGAGTTGTCCTTTCATGATGTGTTTGTTTGTTTGTTTGTTAAACGGCGCACTCAGTAATATTCCATCAGTAAGGAAATCAGTAAGGAAACTGAATTTCTTAAAATATATTTGTCGGATTCTAAGTAAAATATCCATTGTGTTTTGTTTATATTGCCATACCGATGATACGGTATTCATAAATGTTGTGAGATTGCTTTAACGCTGCTTGGTATTTGAGATGCATGGTGCTAGCGCTTGGGACTACCCACGAACACTTCACCGCATAACAGGGTGTTTTCTAGCATAGGAAAAACGAACAATTGTTTATTTTACAAAATATATCACAACCGAGTTTCTGCATATTCACGAAATGTGTTTTACAAAGTATATACTTCTACGTACTCCACATACGTTAGTGCCACGTGGGGATGCCGGGGTTCGATTTAACCATATTAAACACGCACCGGCAAGTGCAACCTGATACTGAAAAATGCAACCTATTATTTTTCTCTATAACACCCTGTGCATGTCTAAATTTAAAAAGATTCTGACTGACTTGTCAAGAAGGTTTTATTTCTATAGTTAACAGGTTCCGTTATGAGTGCAAACTGGTTTCGTCTGGTGCAGCAAGGCTGTGGTGAATATGGTTCACACGCCGCCCGGGTGCAGTATGGCACGCCATTAAACCAAGTCGCCGCGCCTGATGACCATCCTATCTGTCTATTCGCCTCTTACGACCACATTTTCGTCAAATAAACACGTTGACTAAACATGGACAGAGTTCCGAATGAACGCGCATTTTGCAGGGATACACGTCTACATGGCACGCGATATAATGCTCAGTCATGCAAACATGTATCGGACGCGCCATACGAATGTTTACAACTGCGTCCTTGAAATGTAGCATTCAAAACTGCGATGCCTCGTCGTAATTCCGGGGTAGAATTGGTCCCCAGTACCATACGCTTGTCGCTGGAGTCAACTAGATGGTCTGACTATTATTGTTGGTTGTGGTGCCGGACGTTAAACATGCTTTTTAGATTCAATATTAAAATGACGCCGTGACTATTGATGACATCAGCGTAAAAGATTTACCTCACATACAGCAATGTTCCAGCTTTATGACGACCGCCCGTAAATAATCCAGTCTGGACCAGACAATCCAGTGATTGAGATTGTGAACAACCCACAAGCAGTCTGGGAATGAAACAGTGACACTTAAGCCACAGTCACAGAGTCTGAGAAATACAATGGACATACTGCCCACATACAAATGTTCCCATCAACATCTGATGGAGTGAGCAAGTAGGTATTGTTTGAAAGAATCAGTCTCAAGTAGAGAGTCCCACTAATCTAGACAAAGTTACATTCATAATATTCCATGTCTGTGTTTGCAGAAACAGGGAGAACTTTAGGTACAACACACTTTGAAGCTGCCAGGATGCATTGGTTTGGGGGTTCGAATCCCAGATTGGCCTCCAACGATCCTTGGTGTGCAGGCACCATGTCCATGGGGTTCATTAAAGTAAGAACTTGTTTTTTCAAATGTCGCATATTTTCTTTTAAATAAGGACTGGATCATCCAATCCAAATTCAGAATGATCATAAATATTGACAGAGCGACTCATTTTCACCTACAAACCTTTTTTTTCAATTCCATGATGTTCAAGTGCACATTATTGTCAGACTAAAGCATGAACTGCTTAAGTATTGGTTTATGCAGAATCACCAATACAGCACATATCCAGTTATTTTCAAGATACACCTGATGAAAATAATGAATCCTGTATGTTGAGCAACTCTCAGTAGAACTCATGACTATATACACAAAATAGCACAAAAAACATTCTTAAAAGATCATCTCTTTTATTATCCTCTCTGGAGTTCCATACAATCCAAGCATATCTCACACTCAGATATTTACACATCTTTCTGAACACGATTTGCCTCTCAAATATTTACAAAATATACATGTTCTATTTGAAAGTAATACTCTCTGTACAAAACATAAGCAAACAAACTTCTCAATACAAATAAATATATGCTTCAATGAGAAAATGCACCAAAATTAATACTAGAAAGAAGCATTTCAAATCATTCTCTGACCATGAACTGCTCATTAGAATTAGGTGTGAACCTGTCATATTAAATGAAATAAATTGACTTTTTTTGTTGACAAAACATTTCAGTCTTCTAAATAAGAACTGGCCAAATAAACCTAGCCTTAATAGGACACAGGTAACAATGTCACAGTATGCCAATCATTGAATGCAAAATAGAAGACAAAACCCAAAACATTTAACTTCTTCACAGATATGTAAACAAATTCATTTGGTTTCTTTTGCCCAAATAGAATCATTCATCTTAGTAGTGTTTAGAAGAATGTATATCCCTGGATAAGTATGTGAATAATGAAACTAATTAACTGTGTATGTTATAGTAAAATATGTGATTCTACATGTGAAGCCTTCACATACTTTTAACACACCAATCCATTTTTTTTAAATTTCTGCAGAATCATTGATTGGTTTCAAATTTCAAGAATGAAACAAAGCACTTAAGTGTACAAAAATTCAGTATTTGAAATTTCACACTTCAAAACTTTCACATGTGATTGAAATACTTTAAATTGATGCAGTTTATAAAATCAATGCATACACCAGATTTGAACAAAAAAAATAATAATCTACCTGAAAATGCCCCATTTGTAAACAAATATTTTACTAACGCTTCAATGAATTGCACATATCAAACAGAAAGTTGTACTCAATTCATCCCATCATCCAATAAAACTCCTCACTATTTATCACAACTTCACCCACGTTTTTAAAGAACTTTTTTTTGGTCAATACTACGGTGACACCCACTATCAACTTCATATTATGTCAACAATTCAAGATTTTCAGATCACCTAGATATTGTAATGTTTATTTTTCCTTCTCTTTCCCTTCCTTATGTTTCTTGTGTTTCCTTTTCTTATGCTTATGCTTATGTTTGTGCTTGTGTTTCTTATGTTTGCTTTTCTTATGCTTTTTATCTTCTCCATCCTTATTCTTCTTCTTTGTTGGGCTGCTGTCATCGTCCTCGTCATCGGAGGAGTCATTCCCACTGTCATCTGCATTCTTCCTCTGATCATCTGCTGAGGATGCATTATCAGAATCAGTGTCGGCTTCGTCGTAATCTGGTTCAAATGTTGCTTCGTCAATCATAGATTCTTTACGATCAACAAGTTTGCCGCCCTTCTCAGATTTTCCATCTTTCTGAGAATCTTGTCCACCATCTTTTGTCCTATACTCCGACCTCTCCTGACTAGCACCATGCCCCCTGGAGTCCCGACTGTCTCTGCGTATCACCTCCCTGGTTCCCTTCCCTCCCCTCCCCACATCTTCCTCTCTACTCTCGGTCCTCTCCAACTGACGACGATCTCTATCCCCACTTCCCTTATCATAATGAGTACCTTCCCGCTTCCCAAGCCTGTCCTTAATACTGCCAGTTGAACTATTTCTAGAACCCTTCCTCTCATCATCTGCTCGCAGTTTGCTAACACTAGACTTCCTATCCACCCTGCGTTCCTCCCGATCCCTTCGGTCAGACTTGGTTCTCCCATCTCCCTTCTCACCCCTCTCTGCCTGAGAAATTGTGATTTCTATTGATTTTTGTTTATTCATGACTCTACGGTCATCATCGTCAGCTGCCTTTGGTTCATCCTCCAGATACACACGCCGATGGGGTTTCGTAGCAACTGGTGCTGACACAGCCGAGGCAACAGAAGTTGGTCGCATCGGTTTCTGGGACAGAACTTTCTCAGCACTCTCGATGATTGATCTGGAGAAACAAGAACACAATTTTGCTAGTCATATCATCAGTGAGTAAATTGGTCAGCTTGATGTGGAAGGAAAGCCAAAGTGTTGAAGGTGTTTCACGTTTACGACTTTTGATGACAAGCCTAAACAAAATCAGGGCCAACCCAGATTCAAACCCACTATCATTTTTCTGGTATGCAAATGGGATGCAACTCTGCACTGGCATTTGCTACACCTTAGGAGACAGGGCCTCCTGTGCCCATTTATCTTATGAAACTACAGTAATTTGTGTCTGAAAACCTAGAGCATTACTAGAATAGTTACTTAATCCTACTGTCTTTTACCTTCGCAAAGTCTATGATGCATCAAAATAGTGAATGCTACAATTTTTAATTGGCACTTAGTATCAACTAAGCATCATTATTACAACTTTTAACTTTGCCAACACCTCTTCCATATAGTGAGTGAGTGAGTGAGTATGGTTTAACGCCGCTTTTAGCAATATTCCAGCGATATCACGGCGGGGGACACCTTAAATGGGCTTCACACATTGTACCCATGTCGGGAATCGAACCCAGGTCTTCGGCATGACGAGCGAACGCTTTAACCACTAGGCTACCCGACCGCCCCTCTTCCATACAGAACTGTATTCACTATTGAATGTGTGTTGGCAAAGTAAAAAGTGCAGAAAAATACATACTTTGGTAGCGGTTTCTTTTCATTGCCTCGCTTGACTTTCCTGGCTGGACTAGCCGAGTCCTCCTCATAGTCATCCCGCTCCCACTTGGACAGCTCCACAACAGGCACCGTCTCCTCATCCCGGCCTGACTTCCCTTGGGTCAAGACCTGCTGATCACTCCAAGAATCCTTCACATCTGCTTCCAATTTCACCCGTTTAGCCGGACTGTCAATGTCCTCCTCTGGTATGTCCTCCGGGATGTCTGGCGTCATTCTTTTCTTCTTCATTGTTTTTTCTGTTGATCCATCAGATTTGCCATTTCCTTCTGACTCGGGCCCCGATGATGGCTTTGGCACTTTCTTTTTCTTGGTTTTAACCCTTAATTTACCTGGCATATTGTCTGACTGATTTCCATTGTCAGTTCCAGCCTTCTCTGTTTTCATTTTCCTTGGTTTCTCAGGTTCAGATTTCTCTTTTACTGAGCCTGGTCTCTCTACCTTTTTCACCACCTTGGTCTTTGAACTATCTACTTTCTTACCCACTGATTTCTCATTGTCAGACTTGACGTTCTTCTCCGATTTCTTGGGTACTGCGTCTTTCCGACTCTTACTACTCTCTCTACTGCTTGATTTTTTAGGCTCCTCAGGAATAGAGGCTTCAATTTTGATTTCAATAAGATTACTTTTTTTGGTACTATTTTGCCCAGCTACTGTCGAATCACTGTCGGATCCATCTTTTCCAGATTTTTTTTTCATCTTCTTAATTCTATCATCAGCTGGTTTCTGACCAGACTCCTTCTCTCTCCTGACACTATCTCTCTTCGCCTTACCATCTGCATTCTCCTTATTATCTTTATTAGTATCTCTTCCATCCTTCTTGTCCTTCTTCTCATCCCTCTTTCCTTTGTCTTTCAGTTTTCGGTTTGCATCTCGACGCTTATCAGTCGACTTACCCTCCTGAGAATTTTCATCTCGTTTATTAAATTCATGGGAACGACTACCTTTCCTGAAATCGAGTTGATCCTGATTTTCAAACTCTTGATTTCCAAAGTCTGGATTCCTGTCTCTCCTGAAATCAGGGTTTCTGGGGTTGCGTCTGCCCCTACCCCCCCTGGCTGGACTTCTACCCCTCCTGCGTGGAGACTTGGCCCGTGGGTCACGAGTCATGTTACCCATGAAGCCGACGCCCTCGTAATTTGGCACACCTCCTGGAGGTGGACCCATCCCAAACCTGAAGAATTCATTATATTGGTCATCGTATGGTCGTGGTTCAAAGCTGTAAAAACAAAGAATCACATTTTGAGTGAGTTATATTTTCAAATGTTTAGGGCTGGTTCTCATGTGCTGCCTGGGGCGATGGGGTAGCCTAGTGGTTAAAGAATTCGCTCGTCATGCTGAAGGCCCAGGTTCAATTCCCCACACGGGCTCATTGTGTGAAGCCCATTTCTGGTGTACCCGACGTGAAATTGCTAGAATAGTGCTTAAAGCGGCGAAAAATCCAACTCACTAAAATGGCAAGGTATCATGGTGTATTACAGCAGGGTTTTATCTAGGATTTCAAACTAAGTGCCCTTGGCAGGCAATTTTGGGGAAAATAGCGATTTTGCTCATATTGGTCAGTGAAATACAAGTCACTCGTACAAAGCCATAACATAAGTTATGACTATATAACAAGAATTTGGGAAATTTGTAATATAAATTTGGGAATATTTACTGACATATTTACGGAATATCATCCTCTGACAGGCATAGATAGAGTTGCAGATGCAGTCTGACCTCTCTGCCACACTGTACACTGAATGCCCAGTAGAATGTGTACTATTTTAATCATGAACATATTATCCATATACTTACTTATTAAAATATGGATCCGGTGGCATTCCTCGATCAGGATAAGGGTTGTATCCATATCTGTCTGGTGGTGGGGAGAATCGCCTCATAGGAAGTCCCATCAGTGGCGGAGGTCCAGTCTCTCCTGGAGGTGGAGGGGGAGCCTCAGGCTGTCTGTAGTTGCGGAATGGAGGCGGGGACCAGCGATCACGTCCCGGGGGCAGTCTTCTTGGTGAAGTCCTCACGGGTGATCTTGGACGTGATGTTGATCGAGATCTGCGATAATATGGAGAGCGACGTCTATACGGACTCCTTGAACGAGATCTTGAATACCTAGGAGAGCGTGAGTATGATCGAGATCTGGACCTTGAATATGATCTGTACCTTGGGCGAGAACGGGACCTTGACCTTGATCTTGTATATCTTGGACTCCTGGTTCTCGATCTAGTCCTTGGTCGAGGCGATCTTGATCGAGATCGCAAGCGTGGAGACCGAGATCGAGACCGAGACCTCCGAGGACTTCTGGTCCGAGACCTAGTCCTTGATCTAAGTCTAGATCTTGATCGTCTTGGCGATCTTGATCTTGACCGGGACAATTTTCTATTTCTGGACCTCGATCGTGACCTGGATCTAGTCCGGGACCGAACCCAAGACTTTGACCGGGACCTTGAGTGAGATCTTCTGACGTTTCTTGGAATACTTCTAGATCTGGAACGTGACCTTGATTTGGATTTTGTTCTGAAATAAGGCAAAACCAATCTTTAAACCTAAGAAAATCATTAACATATTTTTAGAGAAAGGTTTTGTTTGTTTGTTGTATAATACTGCCCTCAAGCAGTATTCCAGCCATATGACAGCTGCCTGTAAACAGTCAAGTCTGACCAGACAATCCAGTCACTGATATTATGAGCAAGGACCCACACTGTCAGGGAACATGATACACTATCAACTAAGTCACTGAGCCTGACCATCTGATCCATTTTTCTCCCAATTTGACCAGCCTAGGTTGCTGGGAACCCATTTTAACCTAGACTCCCCACGGGGGTTACAGAAAAGTAATATACTTTATTATGTTGTTAGAAGTAATGCAGCCATGTTAAAAGAAGGAATTTCAACAAAGAAAGAGTCATTTAAAGAATTTGAATCAGACTCAGTATATTCAGCTGACAACTGTATACACAGGGTAGCACATTTTGATGGCCATATTCAATAACAAATGAGACTCAGGTGCCTGACCTTACACCCCATCACTGTTGAACATGGTCTCTATTTACCTGGACTTTGACCGGCTAACTTTCCTTCTCCTCTGATCTTTGCTGTAAGCTAGCAGCTCCTGGGTAAAGTCATCCATCATGTCACGGCGAGGTCTGGGGGCAGGCACAGGCCTAAAACAAAACATTCAGGTGTTGAAGCTGCACACAGAGACACAGGACTTATCCATCCTAAGAACACTTAGTTTAACATAGGCATGTTCCTGACAGTCTTCAACTGGCCTGAAAACTTGAAGCTTTTTGTCTGATTGACCAGAATAAATAGACAAGTAGACATGTCTGGGAAAGTAAAGAGTCTACTTTGCCACAGGCTGAAGCACCTTGTTCCAATTGGTGTATCAGTTTACCTCCTTGTAATGAAATCTATTTTTGCGACATGACGGTATATTTCTCAATTCAAAATGTGGTTACTGAAGGTAACATTTTAGGACTTTTGTTTTGAGTTCAGTTCAAAATGAGAAGTGTGTAATAATGTGTCAAATTGAGCTAGTGTTATCAGACAGAGAAACTTAACCTCCAGCATAGAATACTCACAGACTCTGCTGCAGTAGTCTGGCCTTCTCCTTGTAGAACTCCGCCTCAGACAGGGGCTTGAATGGAGGGGGGAAGCTTGGGGGCATACCCGAGGGGTAAACACTAGGGGGGAACCCCCCCGATGAGGGGCCCAGGACTGGGATGGGGGCTGGTGGGGGTCCTGCAGAAACATGCAAAACATTAATTCACATTCATGTCATTAACTACAGTTATCACAGTTTGATTTAGCTGTATAAAACATGCATCAGTGCAATCCGATACTGATAAATGCATCCCTTTATTCTTGCACCCAACATGCCCCATGCATGTCAACGTTTACAACATGTGTCTGACAGACTGCCAGCAGTTACACATCTATCAAAGATACTTCATGGAGCAGTGAGGACGGGTCATAAGTCAGTATGGTTCATCAAGTGGTCATTAACTTGACTGAATATTAAACAAAATGATCTGATATGAGATGAGTTTTTTATCCGTCTTGTTGAGAAGGTTATGGGTGCAGCCTGTTTTAATCTACTGGAACAAGCTTGCATCTGAACATGCACTTGATGCAAGTTATCTTTGGTTTCTTTAATCAAGGGATGGTTTGTTTGCTGTTTAGAAATATTTCAGCTATACAATGGCAGTCTGTAAATAATAAAGTCTAGGCAAGACCATCCAGTCAATGCCATCATAAGCAGATGGATCCAGGCACCTGGTTTTTGATGACAGGCAATCAACCAAGTCAACATGCATGACCACCCAATCTATTTAGTCACCCCTTAAAACAGATTGCTGGGGACCTATATTCTTACAAAGAATTACCACAGGTATATAAATATCAAGTAGTTGTGGCCAATATCTAAACTTCATGGGTTTTTAACTGGCTATTGTTGCTATGCTTGTCATTCAAAGTGTAATAGGTTCTGCTGCTATTATTGTTTAAAGCTTCAGGCACTGTGATGGTCATGATGTGTTTTGTTGGTACACTAGAAGCATGAAACAACATAACCCTATATACTTCTCTAAAGTACATGTTCTTTGTTCTTAAAGCGCTTGTATACAGACCTTACTTACCGGACACTAGAGAACAGCAAACATGGTGTGGCACATTATTTTTGTAACAATGAAAATATTGAGACAAACCTGTTGGAGGAATCCTTGGTGGCAGCCCAAATCCTGGTGGAGGGACAGCCATAGAGGGAGGGGGGCCAGGGAAAGGTGGGTAGGGAGTGGGTTCATTCTTCACTTGTGGGATGTGGGGAGGGGGACCTGGAGGGCCAGCTGTTGGATCCCTGGGAGGGGGGTGATCAAAGTTGCCTCTTTGGAAGTTGTCCTTTCTTGAATAGCTGTGACAAATAGGGTTGGTTGAGTGATTCTTCAATGTAAGCTCTTATTTAATATAAAGGTCTAAAAGTAACAAGAGTCATCGGATGATGACAAACCCCCTCCGTCCCCCACAAATTTGAAAGAACTAATCATCTGACTGTTACTTTAAGTCCAACTTGATGAGAGAATTTCAATCTAATCTGTCGGTCCGTATACAAGAGTAGTTTTGGGGCTATCAAAACAATACCATGGAATTGGATTTGGAACCTTGTATTTCTATGTCAGGTACACACCTCTACCAAAGAGGGTAAAAGTCAAACTTGTTGCCATGGAAAGAGGGAAAAATATAAATTTAAAAAAACCCTGTACAGCAAAAGGCACCAGCTGACAACCTGACCTTTGTGTAGGCAGTGTTTCAAGAAAGAGTGCCTATATGTATTAGAGATAGAGTCTGGACAAATACACCACTATGAACAGAGTCAAAGTCAAACTTGTTGCCATGGAAACAGAAAAATCACATGTTGAAAAATTCCTAAATAGCAAAAGGCACCACTTCAGCCCTTGGATAATACATATACTAGATTTGGATAAAAAGTCTTTCACAGTTTTCAAGTTGTGCCTGGGAAACGACACCTATCCCACCTTTGAGACTATGTCCAAATTGTTTCCATGAAAATCAAGAAAAATATGGAGGGGGAGTAAAAAAACATTCTATCCTGAATGTTTTTCATTCTTCCTGTGTTTCAGTCCTTGTGTTTAATTTCTACAACCAGAAGGGCATATTATAGAAGGGAAAAAAGGAACAATTTAGCTTTCTAGTGTCCTTGAATCTGACTTACTGGTCTGGTCTGTCATGATGTCGGCTGTATTTCCTGTCCCTGTCGTCTCTTCCATCAAAGTGCCTGCCTCTCCTGTGATTGGGACCATGATCAAATTCATTGCTGGTATCTGGTCCTGTGAAACATTTAAGAAATGTTGCAAACTATTCAACTTAACATATGACGAAATTTACAACAAGCAGTTGTTACAAGCATTCACTGCATGGAAGTTACTGAGGCTTATAAAACCTTTAAAGAGGGGGTTGACAATCTGTGTTTGAGTGAGTGAGGGAGCTGGTTTTAATGCCACTTTGAGCCCTAGGACTATTCAGCTAAAATTCATGCACACCCATGGACCAAACCATCCTTTCAGCCCAAAGACTGGTTTTGTCCATGAATAAGCATGAATGTTGCTTAATAGACCTGTGTTGGACCAGTATTCAAGTAATACTATAGCATGTCAGCTTGGAAGGAAAGCAAGACGTGATGCAGGTGTTGGACATTTACCACTGAACACAATCAGGGCAAACCAAGATTCAGACTCATGACCTGTTTCTGAAGTACTAAATCAATTCAAATAAAACTTAGAAACAACACTATTGGATTCTAAATCCAGGTCACCCAAAATAATTGTTAAGATCATTTATATCTTACCTGTAAGTTGTATGGAGTTGCCAATTCTGGTTCCAACCACCTGCACAGCCATACCCTGCAACACAGAGACAGTTCAATATAGTGTACAGTGATCAATCCACTTCAATTCAAAACTTTATCTATTAACGGATGGTGACAGTATTACTATACAAGGTTACATAATGTCTCTTTTCTGAGGGTTTCAATTTTGGCTTACCCGGGGCTCTTCATCAGAAGCAGCAGACTGGGAATTCTCATCTCTGGTAGGAGTAGATGGATGCTCACCAGGTGACAGACTGGAAAAGAAATATTACAATATTATAGTATCTGAGTGAAAGTGTGAAAAGGGCCCATTGAGAAATGCAGATTGGAAATACTTTTTTCACTTTGAGTGTACTAACGTAACCCCATTTTCCATGTGTGCTCAGAGTGGGATCAAGTCACTTCTTGTTTCATAGCATCATGTCCTACCTAAGGGATTGATTGATATTCCTCAATGTATGGAAAGTTAAAATATCATATGTCATAAAGGATGCTATGTGTCAATGTGTTGCTTGTAATGCAACAGCAGAAGAGATATCTATGGCATGAGATGAACAACAGACCTCGACCATCATAAGGGTCTGAAAATAATTACAATCCCTATTTTACTAACCTCCCACTTGCAGTGCTGTCAGGTGGCTCTGACTTGACAATTGACACCTGTGGTGGTGGGCGTGGCTCCACTGGCACCATGGCAGGCGGCGGTTGTGTTGGTGGAGGCACTGTGGTCTGGGGTGGTGGCACTTGTGGTACTGGGGCAACATTCGATGCAGGGGTTGCAGTCCTGGATACAGGCATTAGTGGGGTATGAATGTTGCGTATTGGTGGAGGCCCAGTCTGTATGTGTGGTGGACCTATTGGTGGTGGAGGCCCAGTCTGTATGTGCGGCGGTCCTATTGGTCGAGGAGGTCCAGTTTTTATGCGAGGTGGTCCAATCGGTGGTGGCCCTGTCATTATATGAGGTGGACCAATCGGTGGATGTCTCGGAGCCTGGACATGATGTGAAGGGGGATGCCTTTCGGGCTTCACTTGGTTGTGGCTGCTGTCATTGACAAACCTGCTGACGGCATCACGATGGAATTTGTTTGGAATGAGTTGACTTGGCGACACATCCGTTTCGTGGCACACAGGGCATTCATGATCATCTGTCTCAAGCAGTCCATTTCTTATACCTGAAAAAATAAGATCAGTACTGATGAGTCAAACATTCTTGGCACATTGGACGTGAAATAATCTTCCTGTATCCCTTGGTTGGATGAGCTCAACTACCTTTACACCCTGACAATATTTCACACAGATAGATCTTATGTACGAATACAGTAACATCAGAACCAGAATGTCAAAAAGACAATGTTCTACAAGCAAAGTTGCAGTTTTCAAATACATAACGGACAGGGTTAGAATTAAACTCAAAAGCTTTTACTAGCCATGGTAAAGATGAAATGCCCTTGTAATGTTAAAACAATGGAGAAATTTTGAACAGGAAATTGTACTAGCATTGACCTTGCAAGCTTGTTAAGTTCTAACGAACTGGAAAATGCAACAACACAACTTACATTCGTCACAGAAACTGTTTCCGCAGCATGGGGTGACTACAGCATCTCTCAGCAGCTCCTTACAGAGTGGACACTGCAGGGCTGGGGGTATCCGAGGCTGCTGGGGCTCCACAATCTCCTTCTTCGGCTCAGGCAGGAACGGGGGTCGCTCCTTCTTCCCAATCTTGTACGCCGTTCTGCATGTACAAACAGGAAGAGACTTGTAATGGGACCAAATTAACAGTAAGAATTACCCATATGCCAAGGATACTTAAACTTCAGGATGTGGGGCATACATCAATAAATTAATATATTTAGGCCTGCAGCATGGCTTATCATGCCCATGTGGGCAATTCAAGCATTGCACCAAGTGTCAAAGAGTTGCACATTGAACATTATCTCATGTAACCAAGAATGACATACGCATCAAGTGTAGGGACAGCAAAGTGGCCTGTGTGGGTTAGCAGCGCTCCTGGCTGTGTGGGGTCGTCCGTCAGGGTCAGGAAGCTGTTGGGAATGCCTGTACTTCTCTTAAACCGGGGTTCTATCACGCCAGGTGTTTCAGACTGCCAGCAGAAAGCAGGAACACACGTGAGACAAAAGTAGAAACAGAACAGATTCCCAACAGGCAATTACAAAAACTTTTACTTCAAAGCTAGAATCAACAGCAGTGTATTGATCAGCGTTGAGAGTTCATGAGATAATTAATACCTAGTTACCGAAGAGTTTCTTTCCAATATTTACCATGAACTCAACAGCTTAAAATAATGACTAACTTTCAAATAGTTTCTCAACTATTATCTCACTTTGAGCTCAAAATCCTAATATCAAATCGCCATGAATTGTCTTGTAACATCTGTTACAAAGCATAGTCACATTCAGAAAATATAATCCCAGCATCTATTGAAAAGGAATTTCACTTGAAACTAACTCAATTAGGCTTGAAAAAAAGAAGAATTTCTTCTCAGGCAATGGCTTTTGAAAATACAGCGCGGGCAGTCAGTTTTTTCTTTCAATTGTTATGTACTAATATGTAACCAAATAAACAGTTGTGTACACTCAACCTTGAAAAGGGCCTCCTTACATATATGCATTTCGTGATGAGTAAAATACTGGAGTAAAGTACTAGAATACAGTATTGGACTACCATTGGACTAACAATGTGTGCATAATACATACATACAATGAGCTTTGATTTTATTTCACAATGTGAAAATGTTATCGTGAGCACACAACACTGAAAGCAGCATGTCGACAAATCTGTACTGAACTACACAAGTTAGTCCTGTTATTACACTATCTGGCTATAAAAGAGTTCATTGTGTATTTGGGCTTACGTTTATAATCCATGATATTACTTTTCTCCAAGATTTCTTTTAATTTTGTTTACATTAATTTCAGCGAAATCGTGTATGATCAGAAGGGCAAATCACATCAACTCACCACGAACTCGCCTTGAAACGAACATTAGAGATACAGTCTTTGCTCTTCCTATCAATTCCTATGAAATGTCTTCAGTTATGATATTGGCCATGACATATAAGTATTTTTTTTAACTAAATCACCCATAGATTTGGGAGAAAAAGTGTAAACAGCCGACTGCTAGGTCCAGCTTATTTTCGAGACAAATACACGTCATTTTAATCTCTGCATACAAAACATTGTCTGGCATACAGTACCCAAACACCACTGAATTTGTAAATCATCATGTGTATATACTTTTTATTGTAAACTTCATGTTTTCATTGACCAAATTTGCAAATGGCAAACCAAGCACACAAACTCCTCTTTCCATACGCCGCGACCATAACACGAGATGTGCAGTAAATTTGCTTTATCCAATTTATCCTAACTGCAGTTGAATGTATCAAAGTGTGTCAGTTTGTTCACTTACATCTTTGAGAGGACATGCATGGATGAAGTGGCCTGGTTTGCCACACTTGTAACAGGTGTAAGTGTTGGGTGGGGTGCCAGTCGGCAGCTTCGACTTGGCATAGCTGGAAACAAAGTTGCAATCATCAAGAGATTTCAGGGATAAACCATAAACACCAGCCTCTTGTAAGTACATTTCGAATGTCTGAGTCAACATTATGCCCGTTCACGTGGTACAGATCATACCGGGTTCTACTTTGCATACAGGAACAAAGACTTGCTGAATGTTGGAGGCTTCATCAATTCATATATTACTGTAAAATAGGTAAAAGACATTTTGTAATGTGTCCTTCAAATCATACTTCTAATTATGATCTCAAGGAATTAGGAAAACTTTCATGAATATTTCACTGGACACTTTCATCCAATAAAATGATATTTCTATTTGTAAGAATGGAATTGAACAACTTACTTGGATGGATCAAAATCTCTGGTAGACTGATTTATAGCTGCTTTTATTTTGTCCATTTCCGTGGCTCGAGCATTGACAAGATCTGCTGTCTGTAAGAGGTACAATTATGTTCATTTCATACCTGCTGTACTTAGAAGAGAACTTGCCGAAGATGATCAATCAATTAGTGATTACTGATTACATTTTGGTCACTCACAAGAGAAAATTGTGGATAAAACGAAGCTTGGCCAAGTAGGTGAGGGAGGTTTTTATATCCGTTTTAGCAGCGTTTAAGCAAGATTGTTATGGGCTAAGACTGGACTCTGCAAGTTGTACCAATGTTTAGTTTAGAATTGAGCCTTGGTGTCAGTACTAATGTTTAGGGGAAACAAGATCACTATGTTGCTCCAACTGGTCAGTGACACCCAAGTCACCTGTACAAAGTATAACATTAGCTATTACGGTAAAACATTAGCTATTACGGTAAAACATTAGCTATTACGGTAAAACATTAGCTGGGAAAGGTGGTTTCACAATTTTTACTATCATTTGCTTTGGACTTGGGGCCGAATACCAGTCTTTGAGCAGGCCCAGCTAGATCAGTACCTGATCATCAAAAGTACATGTTTGGGAAACTGTATTAATATAAACAATCAATGAAAAATGTTTTGATCCTTTGAATTGAATCTTATTTCTATAGTTCTGTACTTTGTGTGAAATGAAACTAGACATAAGGACACAATGAGTAGGTAAAAGGCCAAATACTCAAGGGGGGTTATATTGTCAGGTACTGCATACATTCTGTACTTTCTCGACATGACTACACCTTGAGGTGCAAAGTGCAACATCAGATTTGCATATTTCTCTTCCAAATACGAGTTAAGAATTTTGATTTTAATTGTCCTTTCTTAAATACTTCACATACATATTTTAATTTTAAAGTTCAATTTAACCTGAACATACACACCCTCATTTAAAATTTCTCAAACAAACTCAAACCTAGGCAAAACTTACGATTTGTTTTTATGAACAGATTTTTGGCCTAAACATTTGTTTTGAAGTATAACATAATTTTCTTTAAATATTTATCACAATAAATGAGTTGGTTTTTTTCACGTTCTTTGTTTCCTCTCTTTAGAACTAAAAAACAAATCACTGCAGTCAGACCTAATCAAGTCAATTATCGGTGAACCATAATTTAAAAGTGTCCTTGTTCTGTTAGTACATCAATTGCATCCTGTTTGTAGAGAAATTCCTGTGGATCTACTCATATTTTACTATTTGAGACGAATGGGATCACCTGTTCTGCACACGTCTTGGCACAGGTCAGAGTTAAAAATAATACCACAGAGTTATCAAATGCCATATGTATTAAGTTTGTCTCCCTTAACAAAATGAACTGGGATAAAAACTAGAAATCTGATATCAGGGCCCTGTTCCACAAAACGACCTAAGTGCCACATTGATCGTAAGCCCATGATGAATACGCGAGTTGCGATCACCTTAGCGCTAAGATCAATTTGGGGGAATGGGGCCCAGAGACTTATCTGTGTATTCATTTCAGCTCAGGTGTGCTCAAACTTACATTTCTGAGCTGATCTAATGACATCATCTCTTTCGCCTTCTCCTTCTGGATCTGAAAAACAACATGGTTGAGCAGGTGAACAAGTGTCTACCGTAACCACTACCGACTCCCTGCCACCACTTCACTCCAAACTGGACACTTCCAAGCCTACATACCCTAGAAGACCACAGCCTCACTGCATGAATGTTAGTTTTAACGAGGTCACCTAGTGATTAGTGTTGGTGTGATGTAACTGAAGCAGATTATTGCAGTTTCAGCAAGATGAAGCTGTCAAGCATCCTACTCTATACCTATATACTGTTCTTGGTGAGAGAAGTGCTGCTGCCATTCCACTGTGACACAGGACTAGTGTTTCTTGGTGCTTGTTCAGGCTTTGGAACAAGTCTGCAACAGCCTCTTCCATCTCCAGGATATTGAAGTGTTTCTTTCAACAATTTCTCTCAGCTTCCATTTGATGGTTTCAAAAACATACATTGACATACTCTAATCCTACTTTCTGAAGAAAAGAGCTTATGAAGAATTCTTTTAGGTACTCATGTATTCCCAGCTTTTTCACAATGATTCTATTTTCTGAAAGATCAAATAAATCCCCAATTCTGTAACATGAGAATGTAATCTACAGTTACATAAGTGTGTGCATGTATGTTATTTTCTGTTTGTCTTTTGTTTTAATGAGAACTTGTAGAAAGCTGGTTCCTAATGTCACCAAATGAAATATCACCTGCACACACTAGGAAGAAATGCTTTTTCTTAAAACTGCTTCATGAAGTTGTAAACAGAGTATCCTGCTCATACCCTATATGATAACACTTTTGTTTTCATAAAGAGATAAACCAAACAGCATGTTTTTTTATTCAAATCCTAAGTTGATTTGTTTTTGAAAAACTTGATCCATGGTATGTCTGGTTGGCCACCATCAGTTGAAGTGTTTCCTCAAATCTCAGCACCCATCTTCTATCAGCCAATCACTGTGAAAGATCTGTCAAATCTTGCTCCATCTTCCTGGACACTGCATTTAACACATCTCTAGCTGTGTAAGTGAGCATTTCAGATCAACATTCTTAAAACAATTTCAATTAAAATAAAATTGAAGTGTCTTAAACTTATAGTAGAAATTTTATTCATGTAACTGCATATGTGCTGTATCCCATTTTATTTCTGAACAATCCTACATACAACAAGAAGTAAGGAACTGGAATGAGCGAGTGAGTGAAGTGGTGGTATGGAGTGGCTACTAGTGTCACTATCAGAACAGCAGCAGCATCTGCCATCACCTCCTGTCTGCATCTCTGTAACAGCAAACCAAGGAGTTCAGCCTCAGCCAACACCTGAACTTGTCACTGACATCTCTTATTACCCAATGAGAATGTTATCTACATTCATCCTTCATATAATCCCTAGACTAACATCCTTTCCTGCAAACTACATCCAACTTCACTGCTGTCAGCACGAGCAACTAGAGCAGGTCCCAATATCTGCAGCAATCTTAGACCTGTAATTTGGAAGGTCATCTCATATAGATTGTCATAAGGACACATGAGATTATTCGAACTGCTGTAATCTCATCTATGTATGAATACTTTCACTATGGTAACATGTTAATCAGAAAGTCAATAAATCACCCAGCCACGCAAACATTTTCTGTTATTTAGTTTACCACTTTTTCAACAGCAGCATTGCCCTTGCAGCGTTAAAGATACATAAGTACTGTCCTAACCATAAAATTATGGCAATTCAGTTCAAAACATTTATTTTTTACTGAGTAAATTTTGATCATTCATAGATTAAAGTGATGGATTGATTAACACAGGGCAATCAACATATTCACAACAAACTAATGATACAACTAAACATCTAACTTTCACTTGCACACTCATTCATTCCAATTTCAATTCAGGCACATGTATTCAAAGAATACAAAGTCATCATGGACTTCACGATTTATTTTCAATACATGAAAACAAACCATTAGAAGTTTCATCACTTTGGTCCAAGAAAATATTGAACAAACTTTCAAGGAACATGCTGTGTTTGTCTCAGCATGAACAAAGCTATCGGTTGTCTTGAACGCGAAAGTATCCTGTAGTGATACAGGAAGCAAGATCTCTTCCTGCTGTTACGGCTTTCAGCACATCAGGGTGAGAAACTGGATCTTATCAGGGTCATATTTGGATCACATGCCTTCATTTCAGGATAATCTGCATCAGGATCTGCCTCAGCAACACATGGCATCATTCAAAGCTGCCATCTGAACAAGTGCATACACACTTGTACCAATACATACCAAATAAATCAAGTCATACAGAAAATAAGAACATAACTACTGGCGTGTTTGTTGTTTAACGCCACTCAGCAATATTCCAGCTACACGACGATGGCCTGTAAATAATCAAGTCAAATAAGACCAGACAATCCAGTGCTTGATATTGCAACGATCATTGCAAGTTGACAACCATCAACCAAGACACCGAGTCTGACCACCTGATCCATTTACTGCCTCTTTAGGGACAAATTTTGACGAAGAATCCCTGTGTATAACTTTTGGTACATCTCATGAGATATCCATAAAGTGACTGCCCACACACAAAATGTAAATACAAATACAAAACATATGACAATGTAAAGAAACCATTAAGTTGAATGTCAGAAACACAGTAAATGAACAGGACTAGTTAAAAATAAAAATGATGGATCTGTTGAACGAAACTTTTCAAACAAACCTTTCATGTAAATCACGTTATTGTTTCACATAATGAATGATAATGAACACTGAACGCATGACAAACAGACATATGCTAATGTTATATGATGGATACAATACACAACTGACATGATTTTGATTGTGATTGTGGTGAGTAAATGAAGCAAGCATCCCAAGTATTACACTAAGAGTCTGTTCATACACTTCTTTCTCTTACAGAATCTTTTAATTATTCTGTACAAATAATGCACCGCTTGGGTCATTGTATTTAAAGTATCACAGTAGCACCTGCCAGGTGTTAAAACAAGATTCTGTACATGTTAATTGCTTGTTTTTAAATGCCACTCTCAGCAATATTCCAGCTATATTAGGGCAGGCTGCAAATAATCAAATCTGGACCAGACAATCCAGTGATTGACATCATGAGCATAGATCTACGCAATTGGGATATGATGACATGCATCAATCAAGTCAGCGAGTCTGACCACCCAATCCTGTTGGTTGTCTCTTACAACATTCAAAGACCAATTCTGACCCAAAGCTTTGCTGAGTAATATACAAGTAACAAACCATGATGCAAGTAGGTGAACTTTACACTATATACTGAAAATGTAGAACATTCGCTTTGACATGTTTGTTAATATTTCTAGTGGTTTAGAAACGTGTATTAGTTTATACCACAGAGGAAAACAATAATTCAGATAACATGGCACCACATATGAATATTCACAACGAGGTCCATTATTGGTGTGTATATGCATGGTTGGATTACATTCACAATTCTATGTGACCAGATATTGAAAGAAAAACAATTACAAAATGACTGAAATAATGAATCAAAAACATGTTTGACATGCTGTCTAAAAGTACATGAACTACAAATATAAGGCAAATATCACCCCAAAAATAAGCTGTAAATGATATTCTGTAATTTTATGATTATTGTAGGTCCCCTAAAGATCAGTTTTCTTAAGTGTTTAGTCATGTGAATGCCAGACAGACAATCCGCAACAGAAAGAGGCATAGAAGGAGAGCTAAAACTGTTTAATAAACCCCAGATCTAATGAAATAATGTATATAGATAATGATAACAAAAATCATCCAGACCCCTGGCACAATATGACATGATGAACTACATTCTATCAGCTTGAATTTCTAACCATAAACTATTTACAAGGGACAAGCACTGAGCTCCAGAATCATACTTCCTTATCAAATAATTAGATTTACAATCATATCAATACCCTAAATAATAGACACAAAGGAATGTGTTTCTGACAAAGCATTATATTCTTGTAAAACAGCTTTGAACAAAACAATGATGTGTAGGTTACCTTCTCTTGTTAATAATCTCATATTCCAGATCACAATAGAAAATGAGACATTACACAGAAATCTAGTGAACAATGAATGGCAGCATGTATTTCTATTTATGTAGATTAATTTCTATGAAATTATAGACATCACAAAATTCAATGTTGGTCCTGGCATGCCAAGGTCATATAGGCGAGTATTACACATTCTCATTACTATCAGTGATGATTCATAACCTGAGTCAGAGTCTGTGCTCAACTGCCTGTCAGAACAAACATTAACCTCATGACATCAACAAAGGGATATTTGGCCAAATTCAATACAATGGCAGGACAATCTACTTCGAGTCAACACTTACGTTCATTGAATGTGAGACCATGTTATACCTGGTACATCTGACATATCAGTACTTCAATCCTGAAGATGTTTTAGTTCAAACAATGCAAATTAAAAAGCACCAAACAGTTCAAACCGTTTGATAAACAAATCTTCAAAATCTAATGCCAAGACTATGTTTTACAGATGGGCCATATATCCCATATTTGCTGCATTCAGTGCTCAGCTCCAAAATACAACTCACAGCGAACTTCTTTTAATTTACATAAGCGTCCTACTAAGACCAAAAAATTACAGGACAGTGTACAGGAAAACCTATTTTACCGGTAAATTACTGGCAACAGAAACACTGAAATAGTCTTTACAACTGATGTTTGGCAAATAGTTATGTTGAGTTCAAGTGTTTATTTCAAGTATAACACAATATTTCACACCATTCTTCAAGAGAACACTATGATCCAACGATTGCACAGGACATGCATTCATGTGTTCAGGCTTGGAAGAAAACCTAAAAAAAATATGCATGTGCATAGTATTGAAGGGATAATATGATTTCTTAAACAATGCCATGATTACACAATGTAGGCATACAAGATCGAAAAAGGAACCACTGAATTTGAAAAATTTGGCCAGTAATATAAAAGTGAGTTACAAATCAGATCTTAACTTATGTTAATGATTCAACAGATGTAAGAAGGCAAATATTCCATGATAAAGTACATTAACTGTCAACTTAACATCTGTACATATATTAAATAATTTACATTTTTTAAATTCTCATCTTGTGCATAAATGTACTCCACAGATCTTCAATTATATTCACAATGGCATATTTAATAAATCCATATAAAAAAATGCAAGACAAAACAGGCATTAAGGCTGAAATGATTTTGATGTGAGGTCAATGAACTTGGATTTGGTAGTTAAAACATTAAGTAGTTGATACGGTTCACAAACTGGTTCGATATTCCCAAAAGAACACATTCTAAATAGATTGTTTGCCAACTATTCCCACTAAAGCAATCTCAGAGTGCTTACCACTAACACTACACATCTTCACACACGCTACATATCACAGAGATAAGAGCGAGTGAGTGAGTGAGTGAGTGAAAGGGGCTTAATACAAGTTTGAACATTATTTCAGAAACACTAGGATGTGTTAGCCTTACGTGCGAGGGAAGCTTGAAGTTTCGCATATGGTAATATTGCCATGGACACAGGGGAGGTGCTGACAAATCGAGGTTCAAATTCAGGGTGATCATAGAAGATCTATGCACTGATGTTCCATTCACTCCTGAACTTACTATTCAAAACAAGACACAATTCAGTCATATTGTGCTACACCAAGCATTATAAAATGGGTTGGTATGTCGAATGTCTTTGCTGGTGGTAGTAGTAGTAGGTGTGTAGTAATAATGATGTACACAATCTTCAGTGCAGCAACTACACTAGACAGGACATCATTTATTGTGCAGCTGAATTGACTTAATATGACTGCTAAATTAATTATTTAAATTGGAAATAAAAACAGTAAAATGATGCCCATCCTACTCAAAGGATGGAGGGTTGGTTGTTATGATCCTTAAAATGGCTTGGTGAGCTAAAACTGACACCGCAACATTTCAAAAACAAACAAATTCTGTTCTACAGCTTAATTCTCATTTCTTCTCATTCTTAATTTATTTCTGTTAAACATCTCATACTAACTCGTCGTAACTCAAACCCTTTCTACAATTATCATGCATTGATTTACAAGGACATGGGGGTTAAAAATAAATGACATTCCCTAAGTGATTGAGGTTTGTTCCTATTATACCGGGTATTTGAATCTGAGGAGTGAGAACCTCTAAATCTTTAATTTTTTAACATTAGGGTTATGACAAGCACCGTTTGATTTTCATGCTGTACTGTATCGTAGCAATCTTATAAATAGCGGATCTCTTACTTCTATGCTATACCATTCTGCATGAAGAAATAAGAACACCTCCATAGGAGGTTGTATCAAGTGAATATCCTGATGAGTCCATCAGTCAATGTATCTAAATTCTCAGTGCAAGTGAGAAAAGCGTTCAGACCAGCATATCTGATTTGCGTACCTCGAAAACGAGACAAAGACTTTCTTGGATGTATCTAATGAAGGCTGCGACATTACTTAGTTAATATTTGATACACACCATGCTTTCTAAGCTCTGTGGCATCAACACCATTGATTTGTTTGTTGTTACTCAGCAATATTCCAGCTATAAGACGCCGTCTGTATATAATCAACCTGGGACTAGACAATCCAGTGATTGACATGAGCATCGATCTACGCAATTGGGATACAATGAAGTAATATTTGTGTACAGGGTGGGTTTCTATTTGTTAAAACAGAAATTGATGAATTGAAGAGGTTAAGAAAGGAAGTCAAATTATTCTAGAAAGCTGGCCATCAAGACTGTGAGGCCAAAGGTCGCTCAGGATTAACCTCACACAATCATCTCAGAGGTATCACAGAGTAAAAGACCTTATTTTAATGAGATTGGTGTCATGATAGAAATACTTGATAGAACATATGGACTATTGTTATAATGTTAGATACCTCAACATATCGACTTATTGTCAGATAACTTAGCTGACTGAAGTACGCTTGAGTTGGACTGTGGACTCATGGCTGAAGTTGCAACCTGGTAGAAAGATGACAGAACCAGTCTGAAACTTAAGTCACAACTGCAAAGCTTGAGAATAACGAAACTGCTTTTAGTTTAATAACATCAAATAATACTTGTATCAGTACTCTGGAAGTTAGTATGGTGTCTGAAGGAAACAGAATATATATCTCAGATATGACAATGACTCCTCAAATATTGTTATTTGATTATTTGCCAAGCCTCCATATCTCTATCTAATCACACTTATGACTTGGAATTAAATTCTGTATATCAATTAAGAGGATTCTGCCTTAGGTTCACCAAAATAAAGAAATTAGGATATTACTTTAAAGGGTCCCATGTGAAGTATCTGCTTGCTTATCCTTGACACACAGCAATAATAAAAACAAAATTAGCATAAAAGCAATTTATTTCTGAATATATTCACAACTTCATTAACACAATCAATGTCAAAATGACATACACAACAATTCATAAACATGGCTCTAAAAGGAGCACTTCAACAATTGGAAATAAGATAAAAAATACATTATCAAAAGAAGGCGTAAAGTTTGAATATCACAGGTGCAGTGTAAATTCACTGCAAAGGTAAATGCAACAGATATATTTATCATGAAGGAAAACCAACAATGTTTGGGAGACATATTCTTGGATATGACACATACAAATCTATGCATGTCAAACAAGACAGACATAAATATGTTCAGTTATATGTCAAACAATTATAAAGTCCTATTTTGAAATCATAACCATGATAACCAGTGTTTTTTATTATTTAAATGTTTTTGATGATTAATTATTTTTTTAAAATATTCTATGATTAGTGTTAACCATACAAAATTGTAAAGACACATACTGCTTTGGCACAATCCTGCTTGAACTGCTCCCTGAAATAGAAATAGCATCTCTTAAGAAACAATATAGGGACAGAGAACTTCCAGGGACTTAAATTAAAGAACAGTAATATTTACACATCTGACATCCAAGTGAATCACCAATCTCATTAAAATCAGATCTTAGTTCTGGCTACCGCTAAAGAAATCAGATCTTAGTTCTCGCTACCGCTAAACAAAGATCTGAGGACATCTCATTACGTGCCACGTCAGACCAACATTGCGCGATCTTTGACCGACAAATGGAATTACCAATCAGAAGAGAGCTTTCGCGTGCTTTACGGCACTATTTTCAAATTGGCGACAACGCTTCGAAACATATTTTGACAAATTCTCGATCAAAAATTTGAAACCAGAACAAAAGAACATTCTGGAATCGCTAATAGATGGTCTAGATTGTATGGATTCAGTCATTAAACCCGCATCGTTCGGAATACCCTGTGTTAAAAGTTTTTGAGGATGCATGATTAGAAATCACATTCCGACTGTCACTTTCATGATCTGGTAAGCGACCCTCTGATTGGTCGGATGAAAGGTCGTTCTGACGTGACCTCTAGTGGGATGTCCCCAGATCTTTGTATAGCGGTAGCGAGAATTAAGGTCTGATTTTAATGACATTGAGTTAATCACTGGTAACTGACCATGGTCCAGTGGCATACATTGAAAGAAAATAAAAAAGAACAGAACAGAAACTTTTACTTTTGTTGAGATTTGATAAAACAAGGGTCGGCTAAGAATAACACTTTCAAATAACTAAATGTTTGGGGTCACTCTGTTCAGTTTTATTTTGTTAATGTTTATGATTGTTATGTTATAGGTGGTTACATGAGAGTTTATAAATAGATAAGCAAATAAGCGCACATGACAAATATATAAAGCATTGAACTTACGGCTTATGCTTCAAAAGTGACCCACCCTATTTCAGCTGACAGCAAATTATTAACATGAACAGACATGAACATCTCTGTTCTTACGTGTGCCACTCAACACCTATCACGACGCCCCCACCCTAAAATTTTGATCCTGCAGAACATTTAACAGAAATATCAAACATGGCAGTAAACTCACCATGCTTTACTGGTACTGTTAGTGGTTGTAGTTGCAGCAACAGGAATCCTGGACACTATCACTGATGAGTTCTTTGGTATGAGTTCATCATCATTCTTGTAAACTGGAGAGAGAGAAACATCTTTGCAAATAAGATTTCAGGCCATGTAAACATAATTAAACATTAGTTCAAGTTTAAGTTTCTGAAAAAGTACCATAAAATACCACAAATTTAATTGCTTCAATATTATCATCTTCTCGTTATTACCAAAGACAACCAGTGTTCAAAATATTTAAAGATACCAGGCTGCCATCAGGACCCACAGACATTAGAAGCTGTAGGCTTTGGCTTAACTTATCAGACGGAGACTACCCTACAAATTTGAAACTACGGGCACTGACACAAAATCTACCCATAACGGGCCTACTTTCTAACACTGGTCCTAACAACGCAGAGTTTCAGATGGCCATCGGTCACCGGTCATAGATCAATAAGATTCCGATTTGACAGATAGTTTGTTTAAATAGTCAGACTTTAGACTGACAGAAATGCTAAGCAAGGCTTCACACGTTTAACAATTTCTAAATTAAACCGTTGTAAGGATTAGTCCTGTATCCAGTACCAATTAAATAAAACAATGCAAAGCCATCAAAATTTGTAATTGAAATTCTTCACAGCACATGTCATTGAATCATACTTTCTGTATCAAAGGGAAATGCTGTCAGGAGCTAAAGTGACTAAGTCAAGCGCTTTTCTTTTCTCAAAGTTTTATTGGCCAGATGGCAAATATTCATCCAATAACGAATGATAAAGCATTGATTTGTTCACCATTTTTGTTGGTTTGACTTGTTGACTTTTGCCTTTGACTTATTACAATTCTGAGTCCCAAGTCATCAAATGGTCATTGACCAATATAGTTTTCTTGTGCCAAAATCACTGCTACATCTGACATAATTGCAGATAAGGATATACTATATTCTTTGCATCAATGTATCTTACAGAGAATACATGTGTATCTCAATTGTCATGGAGTGTGACCTCTTATTTGTCTTGTTTCTGATAGCAAATGTTTCCACAGTTAAATTGTTTAATCATCCTTTTCACCACTATACTCATGGATATAATCTTTACTTTTAATTTGAAATTATTAATATTTGAACCAAGCATTATTCTGAGAAACATGCCTACTATCATGCACTGTTTGAATTAATCATTATCATGATTATTGCGACCATTTCCATATCTTACAAATGAGTACCACAGAAGACATAAAAATACATATTGATTATACAGTACGTAGAATGGTTTAAGAGATGAATAGGTTGTTATGATACGCCTAACTCATATTCTGATATGTATATCAATATTTGGAACAGTTCTTAATCATTGATGTTCTTAGCGAAATTATAAATACCTGCAGTACATTTGAGTCCATACTGGCCATTGTCCATGTTATTTCAGAATCATTCACAAATTTAAGTTTACTGTACTACAAACTTAAATTTTTGTGAAATAATAAGAAAATGCGCTTATTTTATTATATGGACAAGAGTCGATTAGTTAAATATACCCAAATGAGAGAAACACTAGAGGCGTAATGATCCCTTGGGGATTGTGATACGATATATATCCCAATACCAGGGGAAAATATGACTCATATCGTGATTCTGCACTCTTACTGGTTGTTGAACAGTTTCGTTTGGCATTTTAAATCTGTTTTTATTCACATGTTTTTAGAACAACTTGTAGTGGAATGTATCGTGTATTGAGATACAAGGGTTGTAAATCAATGTATTGTATCATGGGCCTTGTATCGGGATACAATAATGTATTGTTAAACCACTAGTGGAAACCTCTTTCCTGTTAACAGTGCCAGTGTATTGCCATAATCTAAACAGCTTGTGCGATGTCATTTGAAACACTTCAGTTCTACAAATTATGTTTTTAATAATATTGTATGACCTTCATACATTTCATTTATCACAATAAGGAAATGTGTTCATCATTAGTCCTTCAAGGGTCGCAAACCATTATTATCCAAACCGTTCTTCAACACATGCATACCCACAGAATCTTTTTAATAGGCTTTTGTGGTATACTGAGGTTATGCATACCATGCTTGACAAAAATTTGTCAAATTTGTTTAACTTTGTAGTTCCTTCCCCCCCCCCAAATATTTCTTTATTATTATAAAACTGTTGAGTATTAGTAATATAATGGGAAAAAACAGCGGGGGTGACAAAAGAACTTGTACCACAAATTGTCCACATTACAATATATGGACATATGTGATGCTTGTTATGCCACCATTCAGCAATATTCCAGCTATATGACGCAGTCTGTAAATAATGGAGTCGGGGACCAGGCAACCCAGTGATTGACATAATGAGCATCGAAATATGTGATTGGGATACGGTGATATGCATCAACCAACTCAGCGAGCCTCGTGACCGATCCCTTTAGTCACCTTTTACGTCAGCATGGGTTGCTGAAGACCTACTCTACCCCGGATCATACATATGGACATATGATCCCATCTGGTGTTACCTGGAGGAGTTAACATATGGACCATTCGTTTTGGTCTCTAGGCTTTTATCAACGAAAAATGATTATCACAATTTGGATTTACCTTCTCTCGTCTGGGCATTGGTGATCACCAAGTTGTACTCTCCAGGTTTCAATCTCTTCTGATGACTGATCCCCCTTTTCAGGTCACCAAGTGATATATGGATGCCATCAAAGGTTACAGACTGGTACTCAAGACTGCTCTTGAACTTGTAGTGCACAGTTGACATCTTTGCACAACCTCACTAATTCAAACAAACTTGAAGAAACCAAACTCGTCCAATTTCACGACCATGAGTTCATTGTTCAACACATGTGCGCCATTTTGTCTGTGTCCTGTTTACAAGCTCTTGCTCTGCTTTAGGATTTTGTCTCAAAAATTAGCATCAAACACACACACATGATGTACTCAATCATGACATAAGCAACTTAATACGTTAAGTACAAAATACAATCTGCTTTGTAAATGTTTTTCAGTCCTTTTCACCACAGAACAAAATCAGGATGGACGCGCCCGACAAGACAAGTTACGTTTCCAATTTCACGACATGGTTGTACTTGAATAATTTCAAAAGTAACTTATCACACTTCTTGGTTATCTATAGAAGTTATAACAATGTTTTACACAATTCAAATAAGTGAAAATGTCCTACAATTACCAAGAAGACAAATAATGCAAAATGACACAATACACTGTTTCACCAATGGCCTCCTTCTTGTCTCGTGCGTTCACGTTACTCAAGCGAGTTTTCGTTTTACAAGTGCTACTATCAACGCAACTTATAACATGTATATGTGGTGGCTGGTGCCCGTCCTCATTTAATCAAGTTTCCCTAGTTCAATTTCAACACTCTTCTTTGAATATTATTTATACCTCCTTAGAAAATTCGACAAGGGAAATATTTTGGGAATTACTTTATTCATATACTTTTGACATTTTGAGTCGGTCTGTATGAAGTCCCTTGCGTGGAGGACTTGTGTGGGTTTAACCATTCTTACTATCTCCCAAAAGTACGTACCGTAAATCCAAAAGGAACGGGTTTTTTCTATAACTACATATATTTATCCAAGCAAAGCGTTTCACGTCACGTATAACTATAAACCATGGACGTATCAATACATACAATTGATAATCTAGATTCTTTTTGCATATCGACAGAATTTACTCTAATAGACAATGCGAACACAATATGTAAAAATCAGACAGGCACGACAAGACAAACATAAACATCAAAGAGCATAGGCGGATGCACAGTAATACTATTCAGCTGACAACGTATTCTACTGTAAGTAGTCTTGAGGAAAATATGCCGGAACCAACATGACATCATTGTGACATCGCAGGAAGTCTAAACAGGTGATTGTAACATCAAATTTAGACCAGGATACCTCATTCCGGGAAACGTAATCAAGAACTGACTGCAACCATAAACAATGACAAAAGCATAACAACAAGTAGGTACGCAACAGAACGGCTCGCAGATTACTTTGCAGCTTGCTGGGAACTCTGAAGTTCTCCAATTATGTTGTTAACCCTGCTTGTTTATGTTTACAAGATCAAATACCCTTCCTCCCTTTCTTAGAAATTACAATGAGGATGTTCCTCCAACGTGTCTAATTCCAAATATTATTTCAATATAAGACTTGCATGACAGTCAAAAGGTCTTTGTTAGCAGCTGTCAATTTAGTTTTTCCTTGATATTCTCATGTGTAGAAAGTATTTGAGAACACATGTCAGAGATTTGTTTTTTCCTCCCAAAGCGGTAATATGTTATTTTTACTGCTTATGGCATCATATTTACCAAAGAGCAATAATAAGTTCCTAATTGTGTTATTTTCATAAATTAATTATCAATAGATCATATAATAACAGCATGCCCTTTTTTAGTTTAGAGAATTTTATTCTTCAAATATTTAAGCATAGTCTATTACATTCCTGCTTCTGCTACATGTCATTACAACTAACACATAAAGAATTGGATTAAGATTATCTTTTTTTTCTCTTTTGATGTTTACTCATGTTGAACAAACCCCAGATCTTGCCTACAGAGAAAATATTTGTCAGAAGATATCTTGGTGTGTTCAGTGATGTCATTAATTTTAGATGAGGTATTCTGGAATGTTAGTTCATCATATATGTGCATCTTGCAATGATTTACAATTTGTTTTCACAATTCAATACCTGTATACTGAATATGAAGATGTCGTCTACTCAGATTGGAGTGCTCTTGTTTGTTCCTGGTTTCTTATTGTTATTAATGCCTCTAAACTGATAGCTGTGTGTAAATCTTATTGGCACTTGACCTGGGCAGTTTTGCTTTGGAAACGTTTGGAAAGTTTCAAGGTGTGCCTCTTCCCAAGGCAAGGGAGTTACCTGACTGTGAATTCCAGTTTCCATCCTTGCCGCAATAGGCTTGAATTATGATTATGGTGTTATATTTTGACTGGACTAACGAGTTTATACACAGTCCAAGGAAAACCGTGCAACCTGACCGACATCTGGTTTCATAAGCTGCAATACAGATTTGGGTCAATGGATTTGCAAAGCATGTGTACCGCTAACTCGGCGTCAACAGATATTTTTCAAATCTTTTCACGTTTTTAATCAAGGTGCTCACATGATTTGTTGCACTTGCAAATGCAAGTAATATGAGGTGGGGAATCTGATTGGTCAATAAGAGTGAGATAGAAGGGTCATAACTAGTCATACTACTAATTGCCGCTGGTTGCGCTACAATTGAGCCCAGAAATTCCAGCCAAGTTCGGCTAGTTTGGAAACTGGACTTTTATAGTCCGTTAACGAGCTTGCCTCGGGAAGTTGAAGCTGTGATATATGTCAATAACTTCAATTTATATCCAAACTATAATTCTTAAGGGATATTAGAATTTCAATAATAGAGTGGAGGTGAGTATTACCAATGGTGTGGCTTTGACCAATGGATTTATAAATCACAATCACATTTAAACAAACACATTTTACCATCATAACTGCACATGTCAATTGTTAGTATACATCCTCTTCCAGAATGATACATCAATTGCTCAAAAGTATGTATTATCAATCCATAACAACCAGTGTGTGACACAGCCTCCCTGAACCATAACTCACAAAGTGACATCAATATTCATGACCTACATTGCCGATGGTCCTAGTTGTATATACAAATATTCAGTGACTTGAAACAACTGAGATTTGAGCTTACTTTACTGAAACTGAACATACCTGAGATGTATTTACACATAACATACATCTGTAATATATGCAAAATTTGCACTAAATAAAAGAAAATGGGCTAAACCCATTTTGTATGAAGTCTTCATACAGACCGCCTCAAAATGTCAAAAGTATATGAATTTCCAAAATATTTCCATTGTCGAATTAGATAAACTTACAAAGTAGACACAATTTATGGATAACAACTTCTTTAATACTGTAAAGGCGACGTTTTGGTATAGATCCTTATAACAATCATCAAACAATAGATGAAATTATTTTCACATACATAAAGCTAATATGAATAGATTGAAATAACAAAATACAATATACACTATAGTTTACCTACATATGTTAAAAATAGAACGTATTCACCAAAATTACGATGAAACATAAGTATGTCACATTGATAAAAATTAATGAATAATGTTATAATTTTAGCATCTTGTGTGCTGACAGATGAAGAGATTCAAGTGCTGCCATTTGAATGTGCCTTCTGCTAAAATGTTACTTTGGCATGTATTCTTTGTGGCATTTTGCAAACAGTTACATGTTGATTTCACACGTGAAAATTAATTACATCTTTTCACTGGACTTGATGCGCTTTCTTTCATAAATGAGTATATTTAAATATATATTTCTGCTAAACATTCTGTGGTGTTTAGGTTACTGCAGCTGCACTGTCCCTTGTGCAATATATATTGTGTGAGATTTAACGCCATTGTCAACAGTATACTTTATTTTTACATAAACAGACAGTTTTCAGGTTGCTTGAGAATTTGGGAATAATCGCATTATACCTCATTGTTCATCACTGCTTAAATACAAGTATGCCTATGTGTGTTATTAAATAAATGTAAGTTAAAACAAAGTATGTGTCGAATGCATATATCAGCAGTTTTGTTGTAATTTTAGGAATTTTGAAGCAAGCTATATTCTGCTGACGTCTTCCATTATTTTGGGTCTTGCACAGTTATGATTTCATAAATATATTTAGTACTACACGAAGGTACTAATTACTCTAAAAAAGTATGAGTTCAATTCATATTATCTGTAATTGCTGACCAAAGTCGTCGGCAGATTGGTAAATGCCAAACATCCGTCTTTAAGTTCGCGTGCCGTATTACGAACCCACAACACAAAATACACGGCCATACTGTACATTGTGGTAATAGAGTTGACTGAAACCACATTTGAGAGAACATGTCGCCCGAGGGCACTATCCTCTTATTTGCCTAGGGTTTCCACCATACCATATTGATAATACCTATTATATATATTTTGAGTTATAGAATAAAAAAAGAAAAAGATCAGATAACAATTTTGTTTCCACTGTTTAATATTTATAAATTTTCAGAGCTCCATATAAGCTACATTTTTACGTGAAATGCCCCAAATCAACCACACTTGCCCAATGTTTTGTTTGTTTGTTGTTTAACGCCGCACTCAGCAAAATTCCAACTATAAGACGACGGTCTGTAAATAATCGAGTCTGGACCAGACAATCCAGTGATTGATATCATGAGCACCAATCTACGCAATTGGGATACGATGACATGCATCAAGCCAAGTCAGCAAGCCTGACCACACAATCCTATTAGTCGTCTCTTACAACAAGCATAGTAGCCTTTTGCGGCAAGCATGGGTTGCTGAAGACCTATTCTACCCCGGATCTTCACTGGTCCATTGCCCAATGAGATCGATAACATGCGTTCATACTCAATGGCTCCAAAATGTGTCAGGAGCCCAAAATTTCATGATTTACCCACTTGCTTGATGATAGGCTCATATTGGCATTGACGCGAAGTGCATGTCTATGCCATAACTTGATGAAAACTGGAGGTCAAATGCACTAAAGATGTCTGCTGGTATGGTTTCAGTCCACTGCGGAGCTCAGAACTGTAATGTATCGGGAGTGTTTTTGCAACATGTTAAGTTAGTTTTATCACTAATATGAACATGATAAAGCAAAAATTGGGTGGGGGTGGTAATTTTGGGAGTTGCCAGTCCACTGGGACAGACGGTTTCAAAAGCCAGCGGGAACACTGAACAAACAAGGAAATTATGGTGTTTTTTATGGAATGTTTTATTCAAATGTCAAAATATTCAAAAGATAATATTATTCATTATACGTTTTGGCAAAACTGTTAAGATGGTGAGTGAGATCCCTACAGAAAAGTTTGAGCTGTGTATAAGTGCACATTTTGCACAATAAAATCCGCACTAACCCATGTGTTTGTTGATGAGAACAGTGATAAATAACATAGATTAGACTGCTCACACCCTTAACACGCTGTTGGATGTGCTGCCATTCATGCTGAAGTGCATCAAGAAGCACCAGAAGTGTTTGGGGCGGTGGATTCCTTCTGCGAAACGTCGATCCAACTCGTCCCACAGATGCTCAATCAGGGACAAATCTGGTGACCAGGCTGGCCAAGGTAATGTCTGGATGTTGTTGTGCTGTAAGAAGTCCTGACAAACACGTGCAATATGCGGTCGAGCTTTGTCCTGCTAGAACTGTCCGCCATGAACGTTGACGTGAGGAAGAACGTAAGGCTGTAGGATCAAGTCTCTGTAACGCACACTTGTCAATGCACCTGCCACATGCACGAGAGGCGTCCTACCACCGTGATGAATTCCGGCCCATACCATGACACTCCCGCTGCCAAATTGGACAACCTGCTGCACACAGTTGGGGGCGTAACGTTCAACCCGACGTCTGTAGACACGTGCGCGCCCATCAGCACGTGTGAGTAGGAAACGGGACTCGTCAGTAAACAGTACATTTCTCCACCTTGCACGTGCCCATCTAACCCTCTGATGGCACCAAAGCAGACGGTCCGCCAGATGACATGGGGTCAATACATGACATCGAACAGGTCTTCGTGCAAACAGTCCAGCCTCCCTCAGTCTGTTGCGTACCGTTTGAGCTGATATTCTGTGTACCCCAGGGATCTGTGTGGTTGTAGACGTGGCTGTGGTAGTGCGGTCTCGGAGGTGTCGCAGCCAGGTGTATCGATCTTGTGCTTGGGTTGTCACCCTTGGTCTTCCTGACTTTGGTCTGTCGTCAACTCTGTTGGTGTTGTTGTATCGGGTCCACAGTGCGGAGATTGTCTGTCTTGATACGCCAAAGTGCCTGGCCACTTCTTGCTGAGTTGCTCCAGCTTGTAATCTCCCAATGGCATTGTTCCGTTGAGCTGCATTCATTATAGACACATCATCTTTCTGTTTGACTTATTTTGTTC